CGTGATATCTCCGACGTGTCATCTCCATCGTCGTCAGCCGAGTCTAGGCTTCAGTTTGACGGGAATTGCGTCGGAACAGCATCTTTCTTGAGCATTTTCTTAGTGGTCATGCCCATGGAGCCATGCAAACCGCTTTCTATCCAAGTCGGCTCGAAGGGGTCACTGCACAGGGCCGAGTACTGACTGGGCCCGCCCCACTCTGCCCTGGTGGTCTTGACTTTAGTTATCCAAATTCTCCATAAGTTGGGATCAGTTGGGAACAAGTGTAGAGACAACCCATCCTTGGTTGTTTTGCTGCATACAGCAGCAACACACCTCGTCGGCATGGCTCAAAAACTGTAGTTTAGACCCCAAAACGCGGAGTACCTTCGCACGGCTTTGGCACACAAACATATGGCTTCTGCTACGTCGGACCACGCAACTAAGCGAACATGTGCCTCAATCTGCGTCACATACTCCCCGCAAAGATTTATGTTAATTAGGGTAAAATTCCACTGGCGGAGTAGCCTGTCGCAACTTTGTAAACCCGGTTTTCTCGTACTTGTCCAAGAAAGTAATCATCGCATCACACAAAATGTCATTCCTTAGATCATAATTCATTGATAAACCCTGCACCATCCTGCCTTTAATGTTGACATACAACCTCAGTAGACAGGGTTTGCTATCCAGGGATGAGAGATGATGTACTCTGTGTACAGGAGTACCTGCCGTCCGAAGTTAAGGAGTGAATCACAGACCATGGAGCTCTCTGATAAGTGGAAGAATTATGAACTGATAAAAACTTAGAATTATGAATGGAGAATCTTGGAGTTAATCTTATGTTTTGCTTTCATGTTTGACTTCACCTAGACGTGTGTCCTGCTGGGTCATTCTCTGCATCTGGTGTACAGCCATGCACTCCTTGCCCACACCATAGCTACCAGCCTAACCAAGGTCAGAGTTCATGTCAGCCATGCCCTGATAGACACATAACGCAGGTCACTGGAGCCACGGATCTGAGCATGTGTTCTGGTAAGTCGATCACACTGAAGAGTTGAAAAGAGAAAAGAAAAATAGGAAAAGAGCTGATCATGCAGGGGTTGGGTTGTAATGACAAACCCACAGTGGCAAAGTGAGTTCTGGTTTCTATGAGTCCAATACTTGATAGTATGGACCTGCACTCGATGATTGCAGTCTTCAACTCAAACCAGTGCACATTTTTAAGGGATATATTCACTTATGTAAAGCCTTACTGCCCACATCAAATGCAATTTTTTTCTTTTTGTGATTTTTAAAAAGATTACAAAATAAATCAAAGTTCACACACAAAAGCAGAATAGAAACACAAAAAACAATTGCGTAATTAAGAGCTGGTAATTCTGAAATATTCACTGCTTTCTCTCTCTAATTGGGAAGTGCCAAGAGAAACTTTGACCTTGTTGCTGTGTAGAAATTCATAATTAAGCCAAGCAGAGAGTGAAGTGATTGAGGGCTCAAAACTGTCTCATTTGTGCCTAAGCTCAGACGAATTCTTTCCACTTGCTTGCCAGCTTCTAAACTTGTTAAACATCATGTGTCTTGATTTCCCTGGCTTCTTAGTGCAAACCTTCTGCTCCGCTACTTCCTGTCTGAATGGTGGAACCTGCATGGAGCAACTAGAGTCCTTCCTCTGTGAATGCCCAGCAGGTCTGACTGGAGAACACTGTCAGACTGATGTGATTGACTGCCAACAAGATTCTTGTTTCAATGGAGGGACCTGTGTGGATGAACTCAATGGGTTCAGCTGCACCTGTGCGGCAGGATACCAAGGTAATGGAATGAGAGATGGATTGAAAAGAGAATGTGCGTCATTTCTCTTAGTTACTGTAACAACTTTGTAGGGTGTGGTACAAATCTGCCAAGAAGATCATTTCTTATGACTTCACCAAATGAAATGTCAAAATTATAAGAGAAAAGCCAGAAGGAAAGCAAGGTTTTCAGTGGCCAGTTCAGATGCATGGAATTGCAACTGTTCTGTATTACTGTCAATGAGGCGTTCTTGATTCTGTGTTTTATACACAACTCAGCTGAACTGAAAATACTTGATTTTAAATATATAGGTTCTAGGTGGACACAAATCCAACAGAGACCACACACCTACAAAGACACACAGACTATATCCACCTTGAGCAGAAGCACCCCCTCATTGGTTGAAAAGAGCCATGTTGGTTGGGAGTTTTCATTTTGTAGATAGAGACGCGACTGTAACGCATGCATTTCATAGTTGTTTGTGAGAAGTGTGCCCTCTCTTGGTCCCACTCAAGGCTGATAGGTTGAATA